TCCAGCTCCGCCGCGGGAGTGGGCCCTCCACCGCGGAGCCGCAGCCCTGCCCGCAGCCGCACGCGGTCTCCGAACCCGTACGGGACTGATCACACCTCTCCCTCGGGAGGCTGCTCCTCGCCTCCCATCGACGGCTCGATCTCGCCTGAGGAGCCGTCGGGGCCGCCGGCGGGGGAGGCATCGGAGGGCCCGCACACTCCTGACGGGTCTCCGCCCGCGAGCGCCCGCAGCCGCTCGAGAGCGGAGCCCGCGTGCGAGGAGGACTCTCCGACGGAGCTCGAGGACGTCGTGCTGAGTGCCCTCGCTGACTCCTCGGTGGACCTCGAGCGCGTCGTGGCGGGCCTGAACCCCGAGGTCCTCCTCCGCTTGCAGGCGGCCTTCCCTCGCCGCGCGGAGGCCTCTCCGCCCGCCGCTCGCGCCGCGGCTCGCAGCCGCTCTCGGGGCCGCGGCGCGCGTGCAGGCTCCGAGACGCCGCGGCCCGTCCCCCCGCCGCCGCCACCACCCCGTCACCACTCTGGTGGGCGTGCGGCGTCGCGATCCCGCGGGTCGGCCGCCGGCCAGGGGCTTAGTCGAGCGAACGCGCGCGACTCCTCTCGTGCGCCTTCGCGTCAGGCGACGTCGCCTGGGCGTCGCGAGGTGCGCTCCCCTCGAGTCGCTCCGAAGCGTCGCCCGAGCCCCGCCACTTCGCAGCAGCCAGCCACGCCCCGCCATGGTGCGAGCTCGGACGTCGCCTTCGCAGGCAGCTCCCGCGCGGACTCCGCTGCTCAGGCCCCTCCGACTTCGGTAGGCATGCGCTCTTCCAGCGATGCTGTTGCGGCCCCGCAGGGAGGAGGGCGTGCCGCCGAGGAAGGGGGGTCTTCGAGTGGCTTCGCGCTTGGCCGAGCTTCAGAGCCCGAGCTGCATCTCAGCGGCTTTCACAGCGGTGACGCTGGAAGCGCCGCGGCTGCAGCCTTCGCAGCGCGGCGCACGGCCTCTGCGGCCGCTGAGCAGCCCTTGCCTCCAGGGGCCGCCAGCGCCCTAGCGTGGCGCCTCAACATCGGCGGTGAGAAGATCACTGTGGTGAGGTGGGGACCCGCCTGGCAAGCTGCCTTCCAGAGCGCGGCGTCGTGGCTGAGGTCTTTCGCACCCGCAGGGGCCGCCGAGCCCGAGGGCAAGGATGACTTGCACTGCCTCCTGCGGGCCTTGCACGCCTACAAGCGCCTGTTTCAGACAGGCGGCGCCGAGCCGATCGACGAGGCCTCGTGGTTGCATCCTTACGTGGCCGTCGTCGAGCCCGAGGCTATCCCCGCGCATGCTGACCTCCAAGCCATGGGGGCGGGCGCCATCCGTGGCATCGGGCTCGGCTCAAAGATCGAGCAGCGGCGGCGCGCGGGCAAATTGGCCTGCCTTTTCGACCTTCTGTACCACGTGCAGGACAGTCACGGCGCCATCCCAGCAGCGCTGTGGGGATCCCACTCCCCTCCGTCCGAGATCCTCGACGCCTTCGCGGAGGTGGTGCCCGTTCCACATCATTCGGGTTTCACGTCCTCGGCAGCTCGTTCCGAGCTCGCCGAAGCAGCCGCAGCTGCGCGTGCCGAGCCGCGCCCGCCTTTTGACTGGGCGACCCTCGAGGGAGGGGACGCTCTGCCAGCCGAGATCGAAGCAGGGGCTCGCCGTGCCTACCGTAACATGGGCGGATCCTTCAGCTCGGCGCGGGCGATGCTGGCGGAGGCGTCGGGGTTCGAGACCGACGGGCGGGACGCCCTCGTTCCGCCCTTCTACGCGTCCAGGCGCAGGAGGGCCGCCACGCTGATCAGCTCTCCAAGCCCTGGCCGCCCTGCGCTCATCCTGTGGTGCGTCTGCGGCCTCTGCATCTCTCTGGGAGCCGCGGCGCCGACCGCAGGCCAAGGGCTTAGTCGGGCTGCGCCGTCCGCGCCCGCTCGCCCTCCGCGCACTCCCTTCGTGCGCGATTCTCACCTCACCTCCGCGTATCTCGACCGTCGCTCGAGATCGATTGATGCCTTCGAGCTGTGGTTAGCAGAACACACTGGCGTGCCACCCGCCACACTTTACCGAAGCGGGATACTTCTCGCCCGTTTCCTCGCGACCTTCGGCGTGTGGCTTCATGATGCAGGTTTCCCTCATTATATTTTGGTCCATGCCATCTTGGGAATCCAAAGCGCCCATCCGCATTGGAAGGCCTTTCTGACAGAAGCTTGGGACGTAGCGAAACAATGGAAGCTTGCGGAGCCGCCAAAGCTCCGTCCCCCCTTGCCACGCGCGCTGCTGCGCGCCATGGTCGGGCTCTGTCTCGCCTGGGACTGGCCGGTGATGGCGGCCCTGCTGCTCATGGGCTTCACGATGTTCCTCAGGCCTGGCGAACTGCTGGCGTCACGCCGCTGTGACCTGTCGCTTCCATGCGACCGTCTCGAAGTTGAAGGGGATGCTTTTCTTTCGATTCTTGTTCCAAAGACCAGAAGAACGTACCCGACGCAACATGCTCGCTGCTCCGATCGGGGCACGGTGAAGATATTGAATCAAGTGTTTGGGAGGTTGGCTTCCACCGATCCTCTCGCCCCCTTCGGCGCGAGCGGCTTCCGTACTCGGTGGAATCATCTGCTTTTGGCTCTGGGCGTCCCTCTTGCCAAAGCAGGTCAGGGGCTCAACCTGACGCCCGCTTGTCTGCGGGGCTCTGGCGCAACAGACTTCTATATCGCTACGGAAGACGTCCCCCGCGTCTTCTGGCGAGGGCGCTGGCGTCAAGCTTCCAGTGCCGAGCGCTACCTGCAAGCCGCCGCCGCCTCCACAGTTCTTGCTGCGCTGCCCGAGCACGCACGGGCTCGTATCTTGTTCTTCGCCACCGCCAGCGACCGCCTTGTCGCTTCGTTCCTCCAAGTCGGCCCCGCCGCTTGGCCTGCCCTGCTTGCGGCCGCCCGCCAAAACCTTGTCACTTCGCAAGGTCCTTGAGCACGGGTATGGCTGCCTCGCCGACATCGGCGACCAGACGGACTCCACCGTCTGACGCGCGGCGCCCCGGCTTGAGCGCGCGGGACGGGCCTGCCCATTTTGGGCCGCCCCGCGCGCGCACGCCGCGGCCGCGCTCGGAGACAGCTCGCTAGCGCGCGAGCGGGAGAATGCTTCTTCTATTCTCTGTGAGCAAGCTCCTGCTGTCTCCGCAGCTTCTCTGCCCCCCTCCCTCCTCTCCCACTCTAAGGCTGACGGGCGCTGCCTCGCCGACATCGGCGACCAGACGGACTCCACCGTCTGACGCGCGGCGCCCCGGCTTGAGCGCGCGGGACGGGCCTGCCCACTTTGGGCCGCCCCGCGCGCGCACGCCGCGGCCGCGCTCGGAGACAGCTCGCTAGCGCGCGAGCGGGAGAATCATCATCATTAATGTCCTTCTCCGGTCCTCCCTCCTCCGCTTCTTCCTCTTTCTCCTCCTCCCCATCAGCATCAGCATCGTCAGCATCATCATCAGCAGCATCAGCATCATCATAATCAGCATCACCATCATCATCATCAGCATTAGCAGCATCACCATCATCATATGGAGCATCAGCATCATCAGCATCACCATGGTAATCAGCATCCTGATCATCATCTCCTCCGTTTTGTGCCCTCCTTCTCCTCCTCCTGATCCGCCTCCTCCCCGTCCTCCTCCTCCTCCTCCTCCTCATCATCATCATCCGTCTCCTCCTCCTCATCATCATCGTAAGACTCATCAGCATCACCATCATCATCATCGTCATCATCTTCATCATCCTTCAGCATCACCATCGGCATCCTCGTCAGCATCATCAGCATCAGCATCAGCATTGTCATCATTAGCAGCACCATCATCATAGCAACATCATCATCAGCAGCAGCATCATTAGCATCATCAGCATCATCATCATCACCACCGTCCTCCTCATCATCAGCAGCATCAGTATCATCAGTATCATCATATGTTTCCTTTTCCGATCTCTTCTTCCTCCTCCTTCTCCTCGTCCTTCTCCTCATCCTCATCCGTTTCCTCCTCCGTTTCCTCCTCCTCATCATCTTTTTCATGTTCTTCCTCCTCAGCCTGCGCCTCCTCCTCTTCCTCCTCCTCCTCCTCCTGCTCCCCCTCCTCCTCATCCTCCTCATCCTCCTCATCAGCATCATCATCATCGTCATCAGCATCATCATCAGCAGCAGCATGAGCATCATCAGCATCATCATCATCAGCAGCAGCATCATCAGCAGCATCATCCCTTTCCTCCGTTTCCTCCTCCGTTTCTTCTTCCTACTCGGCCTCCTCCTCCGTCTCCTCCTCTTCTTCCTCCCATTCCTCCTCCTCCCCCTCCTCCACCTTCTCCGCCGCCTCCTCCCCCTCCTCCGTTTCCTCCTCCTCCTGTTCCTCTTCCTCCTCCTCCTCATCCTGCACCTCCTCATCCTTCTCCTCCTCTTCCGTTTCCTCCTCCGTTTCTTCTTCCTCATCCTCTTCTTTGTCCTCCTCCTATTCTTCCTTCTCCTCCTCCTCCGCCTCCTCCTCATCATCATCAGTATCGGCATCATCATCATCATCATCATCATCATCATCATCAGCACCACCATCATCATCATCATCATCATCATCATTATCATCATCGTCATCATCATCATTATCATCATCAGCATCATCAGCATCGTCATCATCATCATCATCATCAGCATCATCATCTTCATCTTCAGCATCATCAGCCGTTTCGTTTCCTCCTCTATTTCCTCCTCTTCTTACTCCTCCTCCTCCTACTCCTCCTTCGTTTCCTCCTCCAGTTCCTCGTCCTCCTCCTCTTCTTCCTCCTCCTCCTCCTCTGCCTCCTCCTCCTCCTCTTCCTCCTCCTCCTCCTCCTCCTCCTCCTGATCCTCCCCCTGCTGCTCCTCATTCTCCTCTTCCTGCTGCTCCTCCTCCTCCTCTTCATCTTCCTCCTCCTCCTCCTCCTCCTCCTCCTCCTCCTTCTCTTCCTCCTCCCCGCCACTCCTCACCCCCGCCACTCCTCGCTCCTGCTCCCCCCGAGGGGCGCCGAGGGCGAGGAGATGCGCGAGTGCGCGGCGTTCGTGGGCCGGTCTCCTGCCCCGCTCGAGGCGCTGCCAGCGCCCCTGCTGCTGCGGCTGACGGTGGCGGCCACGAAGTCTGGGGCCGTGGCGGAGGGCGCCCTGGATGCCGTCGCCTCGGCGGCGGCCCTGACGTTGCCAGGGTGCCTGGCCCCCCTCCAGGAGGAGGAGGGCGGAGAAGGAGGAGGGCAAAGCCAGGACCAGAAGGAGGAGGAGGAGGAGGAGGAGGAGGAGGAGGAGGAGGAGGAGGGGGTGGAGGAGGAGGAGGAGGAGAGGAGGAGGGCAGGAGGAGGAGGAGGCGAGGGCGGGGGGTGGAGAAGGGGCTGGAAGAGGTGGAGGAAAAGTGGTGAAGAAGAGAAGGGGGAGGAGGAGGAGGCGGAGGAGGGGAAGGAGGAGGAGGAGGAGGAGGAGGAGGAAGAGGAGGAGGAGGAAGAGGAGGAGGAGGAGGCGGAGGAGGAGGACGGGGAGGAGGAAGAGGAGGAGGAAGAGGATGAGACAGAAGAGAACGAGAGAGGATGAAGAGAACGAGGGGCAGGATGAAGAGGAGGCGGACTGGCTCGAGTCCCTGCAGCCTACTAGCTTCCGATCTCCACAGGAGCCGACTGGCGCTCTGGATCGTTTTGGCGCCGAGCCCCGCGCCTGGCATGTCCCATGGCGGCGGGAACATTCTCACGGACGAACTGGCGGCGGCGATCGAGGATGCAGACACTTTCCTTGAGGAGGCCGCGGTGACATCGGAGAAAGTGGGAGGGAAGAAAGTTCGGACTTCTGAGGAGCATGGTGCAAAGCTGCTGTTCAACAGATGCGTGGCTTCGTCGATGACACCCGCGCGGAGCTCATGGACGCGGTCGGGAGAATTCAGGCCTCAGGCACCATGTTCGGCAAGACGGTCGCCTCCAACCGCGACCAGCCCAGCAGGAAGATGGAGGTTCGTCTCGGTGAGGTCCAGAAGCAGCGGCACGCGACAAATCAGAGAGTCACTACCTTGGAACGACAAGTTGGAGAACTCTGTGAGTTACTCCACTGATTAAAGTGTAGGAGCCGACGGCGGCGATCATGGCCAGGTGCAGGTCCACCAGCACGCGCGAGAAAGTGGAGAACGTCCTCGACCCGTGGTTCCAGCAAGCACAGATCGCGAAGGCCGACAACCTCATCACGTCAGACCGACCCCGCGGACCAGAAGTTCGTCTTCAGGATCCGAGGGACCGCCACCCACGCCCAGAGGAAAGTGGCCCAGGCCATTGGCGCACTTCGACTTCCACCAGGTGAATGCGAAAGGCACGCTGCAGTCGACCTCAACGGGCCACGGCAGGATTGCTCCGCAGCACCGACAAGTCACCACCATGGTCAAGAGAGAGTTGTGCCCCAAGCAGTTGCGACGTGCGTTCGAGATCGCGGCAGGCGGACGCATATACGTCAGTGACAAGCAGTAGGGCGAGATCTCGGCACAATGGAACCCGCAGGCGAAGATCATCCCGTTTCCTGGAGATGAGGCCCCCAAGATCGAATGTTGTTTCCCCAAGATGGCGGAGATCGGCATCAACGAGAACGAAGCCCTTGACAAGTTTGACGCGCCTGACGTTCTCGCCAGCCCGCCGCAGTGGTCTCTTTGACCGTGTGCTCCGCGACTGGCGCGGGCCGGGACAAGTTTAGTGGCCTCTTGCCCTGACTTCATGGAACGCTCGCACTCTCTCTCTCTCTTTCTCTCTCTCTCTCTTTCCCTCTCTCTATCTATCTCTCTATATATCTATCTCACCACCATCCTGCTTTCCGTGAATCCAATCACGCCCTTCTCCACTGTCTCTTGACCCCTGGTATGGTAGCAGTCCAAGACCCAAGAGAGCCATGGCAGCAGGTTGCAGATCCAGGGTTTTGCCTACCAGAACCATCTAAAGCACCAGTTCTATTCATCATTATGTTCAAGTTCCAGGGCAGGGAGCATCACTAACTTCCTCCCCAGTTTTGATCATCTTCAAGATAAATCCCCTGGCGTACACGTTCGAGAAAGTGCCCCTGGCCGAGCCACCAAAGTCACTCTAAACATGCATGTCGATACTATGATCGACCACGACAGCATCCATAACCAGAAGCTTACCAATGAGGAGAAGATGGGGATTCAGGAGATGGTGACCGCCGATCTGGATCTTGCCGAGGAGTTTCCCACCCAGCACCTCGTGCTCGCAAGGGGGGGGACTTCAACTTCTCCAGTGTGCCGCCCGGTAAAGTTTCAGATGTCGAGGCCGATGAGGAGTTCCACGGGTTTCTTCAGGAATGGAATGCGATTCAAGATGAAACGTTCATGAAGCTCCTTAGGAGGATGGTGGAGTTGGAGGCCCCGAGCCCGATCGACGCTTCGCCCCGAACCAAAACCCTCAGCCACGTCGACAAGCAATTCATGTGCCCTCTTGGCTGGTCACGTCACGCACGCACGCAGTCGAGCATTTCAGGGTCGGTAGCGGGGCATCTCGGGCTTCGCAACACGCGCGGGATCTCCGACCACGCCCCAATCCTGCCTGATCGCGCTCCAGCCAGGGGGGGATGTTGCTGTTCCAGAACAGTTTATTCCACCACCGGCTTGTGAACACCCTGAATACCGCCGGCCACAACAGATTGACCCCCTTTCCTTGCAGCTCGAGCTTCGAGCCCAGATGATGCGTGGGGCAGCCGAGATCGCCAGAGACAGCCAGATCTCCAAATCTCCCAAGTCGCTTTCTTTCCCAGCTCACTATCAGAGTTGCGGGAGCACCATCGTCAGCATCAGCATCATCTCCTCATCAAACCCCCCTTTCTCTCTTGCACAAAGCACGTCAAATAAGAAGCCGGCATGCCAGCAGGTCTCCGCCGTGAAGTTCTTGCGCCACCATGGGCCATGGCGGGAGGCGTTGGGGCACTTTGCGAAGCTCAAAGTCGACAAAAGATTTGGCCTTAGATGGCCTACATCACGGCGCGGCGCCTTATCGACTTGGCGGTGCGCACGCGGGGTTAGCGTGAGGGGGCGGCCTCCTGAGGAGGTGGGAGAGCTCCTGAGAAGACAGGCGGCTGCTTAGAAGCTGACTCCTTCCCGCGGACCGGCTTCTGATCCCGAGGCGTGGCCCTCCCAGAGCCCGACGATGGCCCCCGCAGGACGAGAACGGCCGAACATGTTCCGCCCACGGGTTGTTACGTTCGCAGCGCTTGGATGTCGGGGGAAGACGACAAGCTCCTCCTCTTCCTCCTCCTACTCGTCATCATCATCATCATCATCATCATCATCATCATCATCATCATCATCATCATCATCATCATCATCATCATCATCATCATCATCATCATCCCTCATTCCTGTTCCTCCTCCTCCTCCTCCTCCTCCTCCTCCTCCTCCTCCTCCCCCTCTTCCTCCTCCTCGTCCTCCTCCTCCCTCCTGACTGCTGTGGGTTCTCTCTTCGCCCCACCTCCTCTCCTCCCTCCTCCTCCCCTCCTCCTCCTCCTCCTCCTCCTCCTCCTCCTCCTCCTCCCTCCCTCCCTCCCTCCCCTCCCTCCCTCCCTCCCTCCCTCCCTCCCTCCCTCCCTCCCTCCCTCCCTCCCTCCCTCCTCCGCGTGCTCCTCATCCTCCTCGTGCGCGACGCCCGACAGAACCGCAGGTGGAACATGGACGACGTGTCCAAGCTGCTGCTGGCCGTGGCGAAGGCGAGGCCGCGCCGGGGCGCCCAGGGCAGCAGGGACGGCGTGGCCGAGCTCTACAGGCGGTCGCACGAGGCCGCTGCGCGGGAAAGCCCCTCGGATTCTCGGGGACTCTGCGGTCCGAGGCTATCGGGCGTCTCTGCTCTCGCCCCTGTCGCCTCGCCGCTCGCTCCCCCCCACGGACGAGGTCCTGACCTCTCGGGGAGTCCGTCGGTTCCCGGAGGCGGAGATCGCGCGCGGGGAGGGAGGAAAACCGCGGCGATGCTCAGCCGGGGGGGTTCGAGCGTTTCCGCTGGCTGCCGGAGGCTTTCCAGCCTCGAGGGGCCCTCTACCAGCTGCGCCCTGTGGCAAGCGTCCGGGGGGGGGGGCCCGAGAATCATCCCGCACGGCGGCCGGGGGACCCGGGCCGTAGCCCGCGGGCCAGACCGCCTCGCGTCGCGGAGGAGCATCGCTACAGTCAACCTGCACCGCGAGGATGGGCGACCTTTCCAAGGGTACCCCTGCATCCGTGCCTCCTCCTCCTCCTCCTCCTCCTCCTCCTCCTCCTCCTCCTCCTCCTCCTCCTCCTCCTCCTCCTCCATCTCCTCCTCCTCATCCTCCTCCTCCTCCTCGAGATCCTCCTCCTTATCCTCCTCCTCCCCCTCCTCCTCCTCCTCCTCCTCTTCTTCCTCCACCTCCACCTCCTCCTCCTCCATCCTTGGCCACGTTCGTTGGCCGCGCCCCGCTCGAGAAGCTTCGAAGTGGGCGTCCAAGGCCCTGGCGTCCTTATCGCGCATCCAATGTGATACGGGTCGATTGAACAACTGGTGTGCGGCCACGTTCGGACTCCAGGGACCCTCACCGGGCCCCGGGGGGACCGCCAAAGCACGACTTAGTATATGAGGAGGCGCTTTCCTGAGGAAGAGGTCCAGCCGGCTGTCTGGGAGTGGCATCTGACAGATAGGGCGATCCAGAGAGGCACGATGGGGCTACAAAGGGCCTCGATGTCGTCAGCAACAACGATAACAGAATGATCCTGGCGAAGGACCCAGGCATTTGTCGTTGCGAGTACCGTCGTTGTGAGTGTTGCCTTCGGCGGATCGCTTGTTGTGGCCACGAAGCGTGTGAAGGGCGTGCCGAAACGGGACGGGGCGGCCATGCCGGCGCCGCTATAGATGAAGCCCCCATATGGGGCCATGAAGCGTTTGGTGGCATGCTGGCCATGGCACTGAGGCCTTCGGCGGAGCTCTTTAATGGGGCAACGAAACGTGCGAAGGGTGTGCTGACATGGGTGGGGCGGCCGCATGTGGTACACCCCGTGGGGCCTTCGGTGGAGCTCCTTATGGAGGCACGAAACGTGCAGGGGGGGTGCACACATGGGTGGGGCGGCCGCATATGGTACATCGCCCTGGGGCCTTCGGTGGAGCCCCCTTATGGGGGCCCGAAACCTGTGAGGGGTGTGCCGCAAAGGGGGTACACCCCCCCGGGGCCTTCGGTGGAGCTCCTTATGGAGCCAAGAACCGTGTAATTGGTGTGCCGAAATGGGTGGGGCGGCCGCATGTGATACACCGCCTTGGGGCCTTCGGTGGAGCTCCCTATGGGGGCACGGCACATGAGAGGGGTGCCGAAATTGGTGGGGCGGCCGCATGTGGTACATCGCCCTGGGGCCTTCGGTGGAGCTTCCCAAGGGGTCACGAAACGTATGAGAGGTGCGCCGACATGGTTGACATGTGGAGAGCAGAGGCAGGGATGGGAGGAGGGAGGAGCGCGAGGAGGAAGGAAGGAAGGAGACGCGGGGCGCTGTCTCTTCAGAACGTGGACTCCACACCACAGGATGGTTTGGAAAAACTGCACTGATAATTCTGAAAGGACCTCTCGCCTTTCGAGGCTCCTTCTCTTCCTCCTCCTCCTCCTCCTCCTCCTCCTCCTCCTCCTCCTCCCCCTCCTCCTCTTCCTCCTCCTCTCCTCCTCCTCCTCCTCCTCCTCCTCCACCTCCTCCTCCTCCTCCTCCCCACCTCCTCCTACTCCTCCTCCTCCCCCCGTGCCTGGGCAGAGGGCCAGGGGAGGCGCAACGAGGGCGTCTCCGCCGACGGCGAACGAGGCCAGCGTGAGGGGGAGCGGCAATTGGCAGACGGGGTCCCCAGAGAGGGGCCCGCGCCCTTCGGGGGAGGGGGCCGAGGAGGTTCCCCTCTCCGTCTTGGCGGAGGGCCCGCGGGGGAAAGAGCGAGAGCGGCGGAACGCCGGCGGAGGTGAACAAGAAAAGTGCCTCCCCCCACCGAGGGGTGTCAACATTTTTGCGCGACGGCGAGCAGACGGCGCAGCGGGCCGAGGTGACCGCGTCGCTGCACCCGTCAGCGCGGCGGGCTGCCCAGCGGAGATCATCACCGACTCGCAGTACGTCCAGAATAGCGTGTTGGCCCTACCTGCCCGCGCCTCGCCACGGGTGTGGCAACACGCAGACCTCTGGGATCTGCCCGCGCCCCATTGCCAGTCGGACTTCGCCACTACGCGGTGGGCCAAGGCGCACCTCGACGAAGAGGCGGCGGCGCGGCGCAGGATGTCCGACGAGGTCCAGCTAGGAAGCTGGGTGGCCGCCGATCATTTGGCGGGCGCCGCAGCGACTGCCCGCTTGCCCGCGGAGCACCTCTCCGTGGCCGCGCTCACGGCACTCCAGACAATGCTGGCCGCGGCGGAGCTCGAGGCTTTGAAGGCCAACCACGGTAGCAGCGGGCCGAGCGGCCCCCGCGTGCGCCAGGCCCAGGCGGCGGCAGCCCCAGGAGGCAGACGACGCGGTCGCGGCCGCAGCTGTGGCCCCTCCCGCGGCCGCCGGCCATGCGCCGCGCCGCGTGGCTGGCGGCGCGCCGCGGCCTGGCGCTGCAGACGCGGCGCGGGCCCTGTTCGCAGGCGGCGGCTGTCGCCCCCACGTGGTCTCCCAAGGCCCTGGCGGGGTGGCGTGCCTGCGACGCGGGTGCTGGGCGCCGCGGTGGGAGCGCCTCGCGAGCCGGCCCTGCGGCGGGCGCGTCCCACTCCTGCAGGCGAAGGCTGTCGGCCTGCTGTTGCCCCCGGCGATGCGCGCAGGGGGGCCGATGCCGAGTGGCGCGCGGCATTGCGGGCGCGCCTGGCCGCGCGCGAGGCTCCCAGGCGACCCAGAGGATGACCTCGCTGTGCGCAGGGCGCGGTGGGCGCCCGGGCCTCGTGTTTCCTTGCCCCCCCGTCTTCTTTCTCCATCTCCTTCTCCCCCCGCTGCCTCTGCATGGGCTCTGCATGGATGCCAGAAACGTGTAAACATCTCTGTGCTCAAGCTTTCGGGAGCTGGCCGTCGCAAGACTTCCGACGACGTGTATGTTCTCTTGCGTGGGCCCCCGAAGGTCTCAAGCCTTCCGCTATGCCAGCTTTTCATCCCGAGTCGTTGTGTTGGCGGTCTCGGGGCCCGATGAGGGCGCCCCGGTGCCGGAAGGGATCGAAACCGTCCGCCACGATGTGCTCATGGCGCGAAGGTGCCAGGGTCTCGTGAAGGATCCTGTCCCAGGGAACCAGGACGGTGCAAGGTCTGGCGGGAGAAAAGACTGCACAGTGGTAAGCTATGCCAAGAAACACCCTGCTTGTTTCCAGGGTGCCCTGGGTTTCTTGGGTTCCGATGGTTCTGCGATGGAGAGCGTAAAGTTCCCACGCCAGAAAGCAGTGGACGTCCTGGGTCTCAGGGTTGGGTTTCTTATGGAAGGTTATTGTGGTCGAGCGCCTACGGTATGGAGAGCGTTTCGATTCAACCCACAAGTTACACTCTTCCTGGCCGTGCTAAATGTCCCGGTTCCCTGGCATCCGCTGGCGTCAGTGCTTCAATCCGCGGCCCCAGAAGTGCCCCGCTTGCCCAGGGGTAGTGCTTCGTCCAGGTCCGTTTCCTGATAACCCTGGGGCCCGATGACGCCCCCCGGGGTCAGAATCGAGGACCAAAACTTCAGATTGAAAAGGTCATCTCGTCGAAGATTTCGGCCCATGGTTTGCCAGAGCCCCTGTTTTTGGGGCCCCGAGATGAAGTGTTCATTCCGCCGAGCGGGATCTCTGTGCGGCCTCTTAGGCTGGGCTCTGTTCCCACATGGCGTTGGCGTATGGCTAGTTGTGATGGTGGAGAGAAGATTGCAAACGACAACACCAACAACAAGACCAGAACCTAATCTGACACAGCATAAAATAGCACAACAGAGTGTAACAAACACACCATAGCACCATAGCATAACATTACACCAACAAGCTCCAAGCGGGCATACACAGCAAATAAAGCGCAGCAAGTATATTTGCGTTTGGGAAGAAAGAGTGAGTGGCTGGGAACCGAGGCTCGCTGAGGTAAAGGGCCCGTGCTGGCCAGGGCCTCTCCATCTCCCCCCGGGCAGGTCCTGCCGGTGAAGTTGTCGGAGTTCTCCAGCGTCCAGCTGATCAAGGCCCCGGGTGGGAGGGAGGTGAAGCTCGAGGGGAGGAGGCGGAAGAGGGACCCTCTCCTTCGGCGAAGGTTCGGGGAGAGGGGCTGGTCACTAGTGGCACCAGTCAACCGTGGCAGGTTTGTTTTCAGCGTGTTTTCGGGCGGGGGATGGAGGGATAGGAGGAGGAGCAGGAGGAGGAGGAGGAGGAGGAGGAGGAGGAGGAGGAGCAGGAGCAGGAGGAGGAGGAGGAGGAGGAGGAGAAAGAAGAACAGCTGCGGTATCTTGTGGTGTCGGCGGTGTGGGTCTTGGCGCGTTCGGGCCTCCAGGCTCCAGGAAATTCGAAGAGTCTTGCGCGTCCCCACCCACAAGCCAGAGTGGGAGGTAGAAGACCATCAACAAGCTCGCGCAAGAAAGGGCAGCTCCTCCTAGGCATCAAAGCATGACCCCTGGTGAGTTCCTGAGATTTTCTCAGGTCCCCGTAGTGCGTGGGGATCAGGACCGCAGGTTCGCAGTCGTTCGCGGAAGTGGAAGAAGAGGCGGACGGCAGGCATGGGAGCAGGGTAAGGAGGAGGGCGGATCAGCAGGAGACGGAGGAGGGAGAAAGAGGACAAGGAGAACGAGAAGGACCTGGCGGAGGAGCAGTAGGGACGAGGAAGAGGCAGTGGGGGAGAAGGAGAAGGAGAGGGATAGGGTCAAGGAGGGAGGAGGGAGGAGAGAGGAGGTAGCAGGTAGCAGGGAGGCGGGAGGAGGGAGGAGGAGGGAGGAGGGATAATCCAGCGGTGGCCGCGAGGGCGCCCCAAGAAGCCCCTCAACAAAGGCATAAAAACAGGTTGCTCGAACCTCGATCCGAGGAGCTCTGGGCTCTTCCTTTCCTCCTCCGCATCTTCCATTGTTTAGTATCAATGCTCAATGCTCAATGGTGCTCTTACCTTATTGTATGTTGTTCTCCTCCTCCCTTCCCTCCCTCTCCCTCCCTCCCTCACTCCCTCCCTCGCCCCCTCCCTCCCCCTCTCCCTCCCTCCCTCCCTCCCTCCCCCGAGCCAGGTGCTGCTCGCCATCGGGCAGGCGGCGGAGTGCCGACCGCTGATGGAGGCCGTCGCGCTGCACGCGGCCGAGACGCGGCTGGGGCCCGAGCTGCCGGCGCAGCAGGTGCAGCTGCTGACGCAGGGGCTCGTGCCGCTGGGCGGAGGGCACGCCGCGGTGGTGAAGGCCGGCGGCGGCGAACAGTCTTCCTCCTCCTCCTCCTCCTCCTCCTCCTCCTCCTCCTCCTCCTTCCGTAGCCATTTTGGCTCAAGGCTAAACCTAGTGAAGGGTCGGTGACCCGAGCATCTGGGATTAGCTTTGGCCTATCCGTCGCTGTCTCTCGAGCGCCTGGCGTCCGGCGCTTTGCTTTTCACTGTCTGGGCTGCTGCCCCACCTACATATCCATTGTCCGACCGCACCCTCGGTCCGACTCTTTCATGCGATGCCGGCTGCTGCTGCTCGCACTGGTGAGCCCGCTGAACGTGAGTTATCCACAGAACGGGCTGATTCCAGTCAATCTGAGGAGCGAGTCACTTCCCGGAGCAACGGAAGTGCCCGCCGCCAGGGCCGCCGCTCCGAGCGTTGGGCACGCGCTGCCGCTGCAGGCGACGACCAGCGCCGCGCCGCAGCACGCCCAACCCGTACATCGATGCCCCATCAAGCCCAAAGAACCTACCAGCCCCATGCCTGGCCAGCTCGGCCCACCGGAACACTTCCGTATGGACGCAGGCGAGGCTTCGCGACCATGGCCTGCGAGCCAGTCACCTGCGACGTTCCCCTCTCAGGAAGAGGCCCAACGACAACGGCACCTCTCCAGCCAAGCACCCGACGCGTGGGCCGCTGCAGCGCGCGAGCGTGGACTCCCGGGACCGGCAGGGGATGCCGCAGGTTCTTGCCCCACGCCAGCGCCAGGCCCCAGCCCACATGATGTTGGCTCAGCGCAGCTTCGGGCCATCATGGACCAGGCCCTTCGAGCTACTCAACCAAAGCTCCAGGAGATGTGCGCCACGGTCTGCGCCGCCGCCACGCAAGAGGCCCAAACAGCCATCACGCACATCAACAGCGTCGCAGCTCAGCAGACCCCCCGCCTCGACGGCCACGAAAAGGAGATGAACGAACTACAACGGCGACGGCGTGACGCGGAGGCTGAACAGCAGCGCACACGAGCGGCCATCGAGCGCATCGAGGCTACCCTCGCCATGTCCGAGGCCCAGCTGCCCGCCATGGACCTGTCCCGCATCGCGGACTACGACCGCGAGCCCATACCGACACTCTTCTCCATCGGGTGCCAATCCAACATCTCCCCAGCGGAGGTCTTCACTTCATGCCAGAACTGGTTCACAGCAGCCGGCATCAACAACTCCATGGTCAAACTCCTCAGCGAAGTACCTGCGCGCCGACATCAATTACAAGTCCTTCACGGAGACGCTGAGGCCATCCCTCGGGCCATGGCCCTGGCTCGGAACCTCCGGGTCCCCGGCGGATACAGGACGTCCCAGGGCACCAACGCTCAGGGCCAGCGAGCCCCTCTATTTGTCAGCGGGGATAAGGCGCCCAAACAAATACGCTGCGAGATCCAAACCAAACGCCTCACCCAACTCCTTGAGACGGCGCACCCACAACAGCACTGGAGAAGCTGGAAGGACAGAGGGCAAATCAAAATGGATGGCGTACCCTTGGTACGAGTCGAGGTGCAAGGACTTCGGGAACGCCCCAAACTCAGATGGAATCCCAGGGCGAATGGCGCAGCCCACATCGACCAGGACCGCATCGAGCGGCAGTTCATGGACGCTTTCTACGCGGAGGATAACATACAGTGGACCTAACACTCGCTGGGCCGCATGGCCTGCAGCGCCCCCGGCTGCGGCGCCGAGCGCCACCCCGGTAGCTTGGAATGCACGCGGCCCCCTCTGCGTCAAGCACAAAGGACGCCATCGTAAACGGAAGCTACTCGAGTCCTTCATGCGCCAGGGTGCCATCATCATGACTCAAGAACTTCATGGCTCTGCTGTCCGGCTTCGGCTCGCCATGCAGCGCGCCCCCTACCCGTGCGAGTTCTTCGTCCGAGGGCAGCTCGCCTGCTGAAGGCGGCATAGCATTTCTTGCCCCACGGGCTCGTGCACTCTGCAGGCCTACCCAGCGTCCGCCAGCGATGTCAGACTCGAGCTCTTCTTCTTCGACTTGTGTGCCCACCTCGTCCTCTTCTTCCTCGTCCTCGTCTTCCTCCTCTACTCCGTCTCGCCCGAGCGCAGTTGCCGGGGAGGCTGGCGATGAGAACGTGGCCGCCTCCGATCACGCCCACGACGCTGACGACGCTTCAGGCAAGGACTTCGCCATCAACAACCATCTGGTATTTTTCAACAGCAAGGCGGTGCCCGCCGGCAACTTCACCTACAAATTTGGCATACTTGTCTCCGGCCGCGCGGCCATGCTCACCTGCGCGGACATCTCCAAGGGCATCACCGCCAAGCTCCTCAACGCGCACAATTACAATTGGGACGAATCGCACTTCAGCGCCATCGCCGCCAAGATGGGCGAAGCGCACGCAAAGGCACATCCGGAGTCCCACGAAGAGCATCACCGCTACTCTGTCGCCATCGGCGACTTCAACATATCAGATCAGCCAGTCTACTCCTACGACACACCCACTGCCACGTGGTCGGCTGCCACGCCACACGCCAGAGCTGATGGCAATGCCAACGCTTGGAGACAACTGTTCCGGACTATGACAGAATTCCCTACTGGACAGCCGACGCGGTTCTCCAAGGCTACGCGCACGGCGTCTGCGATCGACAGGGCCTTCATCTCCACCGATGAGCACGCCTTGCTGCACAATGACATATCCTATGAGATTAACCGGGAGGCCGTTGCCCTTTCCAACGCTCGTCTCAGTGACCATGCTCTCGTCGTCCTCCGGCTCAGGGAAACCACGGTCAAGCCCCTCGGCGAGCGCGCAATGCCGTCTCTCATCTTCAAGATGCCGCGCTATCGGCACCATAACGAGACCTTTTACAACCTCTCTTCGATCCAGCACATGGGAGTTGAAGGACGATGGAGAGCTACGAAGATTCTCATGCGGGAGGCCGCCCGCCTTACCCGCGACGAGGCCCAGCAGTGCCGCAAGGACGACATTTCCGACTTCGCCCGGCAGGGCCGCCTCATCACTGCCCGGGCTATCTCCCGAGCGGTCTGGCAGAACAACACCCCCACTGCCGAGCTCCTGATCGCCACCACGACTTTGGGCAAGGAGCAGCTGCTGATCCATGACACCATGGTGGCCCTGCTGGACCCGCGGGCGTTTGCGAATCCATCCCGCCGCCTCCACCAAGAGAGGGCCGACAAACGCCAAGCGATGGCCCGGGCCCAGGCTAATCGAAGTTCCCGGGGATCAGATCAGGACTTCTGGAAAAAGCAGCAACGGGCCATTCAAAGCCGCGCCCAACTATGGTCCTCTTTTCGCCCCCACCTGATCTTGAAAGGTATCCGGATTCATCCCGAAGGCTCCCAGGAACCTGGGGTAGCCCGATCTCCTGCGGCTATGGCCCGCGCTCTTCAGGAACACTGGAAGCCCATCGTCGGGATCGCGCGTGGACGAGGAGGCGGTCGAGGCGCACCTGAGCGAGCACCTCCCTCGCTTCGAACCCGCCGACCTGCCCGCCCCCACGGAACACCAGCTGAGGCGAGCTTTAGAGCGTGCCCGCCCGTCGGCACCCGGTCCAGACCAGCTGCCCCACGCTGCTTGGGCGGCCACCCCTGATGCTCTCTACGCTGCACGCTGTGATGTTACAGATGTTCTCGACTGGCCACGCTCCGTTTGGTTTCAACTTTTCGTTTTTTTGTTTCCTCCCCAGAGGGACCGAAGTGTCGGATGACATTGATTATCTTCGGGGCGCCGGCTGCGTCCGCCCCCTGAGTTTGAAAAATGCGGATTCTGAGATAGCGGCTTCAGCTGTCAATCGATCTTTGACACCCTTGGTCAAGGAACGCACAGATCCCGCGCAGCAGGGATTCGTCCCCAGACGCCAGTTTACGTCCAACATCGCCGCCTTCGACCTTGAAGCACGTCGAGCTTCGCACTTCCCGGAGCGCCGGCCTATGTTTATACCATTCGACGTGCGCGACGCATTTCCCAGCCTCTCCCAGGTCTTCCTCTCTCTCCTTGCTCATGGCCTCCCCTTAGGGTTTCATGAATGCGACGCGTGCTTTGTACGAGCTCCCTCTAGGATTCGCGAGGCTCGGGCCCGCCAGGGAGCCCTTTTGCCTCATCAGCTCCGGGGTCTTACAGGGATGCCCGCTGAGTGGATCTCTCTGGGCACTCGCGTTCGACGCCCCGCTTCGTCACCTCCGCGCGCTGCTTCCCACTGACTCCCTTGCAGCGGCTTGTGCTGACGACAATGGAGCGCTGCTAGCGGAGGCGCGTTTGCTCGGCCGTATTGTTGCGCCCTTCAGGGCCATGCAGTCGCTTGCCAATCTCGCGCCCCCGGTGAAAAAATGCAACCTTGTACCATTGTGGGGGCCGTGTTCACCCCAGGTCGAGAGCGAGGCTCGCGATCTTCTCGCATCCCTCGCACCTGAATGGTCTGCGTTTGCTATTTGCGGAGCCTGCAAGTACCTCGGTGTCTACATTGGACCCGCTGCCACCCTCGCCATGCAGTGGCGGGCTGCTGCCCAGAAATGGTGGACGCGCGTTCAGCTCCAGGCTGCCGCTGGCGCTGCGATGGAAATCAATGTATACACATACGTCACATCGACGATGCCTGTGCTGTCATATCTCGCTCAGTTCTTTGCAGTCGATCGCAAAATATTGCAATGCGAGATTTCTGCGTTGCGCCAGGTCTGCCGACGACCCCCAGATTCCTTGAAGCTGGCCGATTTCCACTCCCTCCGCTCCTGGGGGAAAGCGGGGCCCCCCTCCATCGTCACCTACAGCGCCACCGCGGCTTGGCGGTTCTGCTCTTTCACGATTGACGGAACGTGGCGTCCCCGGCTAGATGCGCTCACGGAAGCCGCGCATTTGCACGGCCCCCTAACCCGTTGGCTCCGTGGATTCTCTAGCCCGCCATTCTGGCAACAGCAACGCAGCATCGGTGAGATGTATTCTTCGATGGCTAGCGGATGCCCCATCCGGATTTCTTCACGTAGACAGATTTCGACAGCGCGTTTGCGCGCCGCCCAGAGGGCCGGCCGCGAGGGGGCTGCCCAAGCTGCCCGTGACGGTCGGCGCCCTAGACTTCAGCGAGCTGTCGTTCGGTCTCTGTCTTCGTCCATGTTCCCCGACACCTTCGCTTCCACTATCGCCAAGCGTTTACAAGTCCTGGATCCCCCATCCGAGGCCCCTGCCGATTTAGAGCTTCGCTGGCAGGCATTGCGGCGAGAGCTCGCGCAGCTATCCCTGGCCCATCAGTGGCGCGTGGTGGAGACGCCCTGCGCGGGCTGGATCACGCCCCACAGAATGCACGCCCTGAGGCCTCGGTTTTGCCACTTCGGTTGCTCGGCACGGGACTCGATGTGCCATTATTGGCAGCGTCCTCGTTTAGCTCATTTTACCGCCCTCCCCCGTGCCCTTCCGTGCCCTCGCTCACTCGTCATGTGGGGACTGGGCCCCGAGGAGGACCACGCCTCCCCAGACGATGCTCGCCCGGCTGTCATCCGTAGGGTGATCATCGCATTCTATCTCTTTCACACCGTGACGGTCGAGCCGGACTCTCTGCCGGAACGTCGTAGAGAGCGCGTCCGCTGCCCCTGCGACTTCGCGCGCAGATGCCTGCTGGCGGCACGCCAGAGCGCCGAGCTTTGAAATGCGGGCGGGCTGGCGCTGGGTGGGCAAATCTGACTTAGCGCGTGAATGCTGTTAGAGGGGACGGGCGTCTTCTGGCCACAGAACAGAACCGACCACTTTCGTCCCAAAGTGTTCGGTTTCCGTTTTCCGTACCTGCTGCCTTTTTGGTTTCAAGCCCCCTTCCCTCCTCTCCCTCTTCTCCTTTCAGTCCTAGACATTCAAGCCATAGGGCCGATATTGTCTCCGCATTGCTGTTCCAGCTCCCGCACATAGTAGTGTAAGAACTGCATTGCCATTTTTGGTTCAATCTTCGGAATATGGCGGGGATTGGGCATGTTTGGGGGGATCGGGCGGGTCTTTCATATACGCACTTGTCGCGGCACGTCCGTGCCCCTGCCTTTGGCCGTCGAGCACAGGCACGCCTCTCTCTTTCATGTTCCCCCGCGATCCACTGCTCGACCGCGGCGAGGCCTCGCCCCTTGTACAGTGTGCGCGCCGGCCTCTCTTGGGACGGATCGGCGCGCCTCCAGCTACGTCTACTCTTCCTCCTCCTCCTCCTCCTCCCCCTCCTCCTCCTCCTCCTCCTCCTCCTCCTCCTCCTCCACCCCCCCCCCCCTCCTCCTTCTCCTCCTCCTCCTGCTCCGAACCCTGTGCTTGCAAGCACGTATATTCAGTGCGGCTCGTGCTTGCGAGCCAAAGATTTCACGACCCCACAAGTTGCCCCGGCTACCCCTCGCGGCGGCCGATGGCACCGCTGCCGCCCGACTTGCCCGATGTCTTGCGGGGCCCCAGGCGGCCCGCCTGGGCATGCGGGGCGCGCGGCACGGCCACCGCGAACTGGGCTCGCCGTGCGCGGTGCGCGCGCGGACGCGAGGCCCCCTTGCGCATCCGCAAGACCGCCATCGAGAATAACCAGCGGTGGCAGAAGGAGCATGCCTCTGGCGGCGCAGCTGGCGGCGGCGGCAAGGGCAAGGCCAAGAGGCTTTCCTCGGCCCCCACGGGCCCCCTGCCATCAGACCTCGGCAAGCGGCTGGCGGAGATTGAGAAGCTCCTGCGCGGGGCAGGGCAGTCAGCCCCCCCGACCAGCTAAAAGGAGGGCGCGGCTGCCAAACCACCTCCCTGGAAGCCAGGCGTCGAGCCCCAGAAGGACACAAAGATCCACGACGCGGACACAGATGACATCAAGAAGGCCAAGCTCGCTACCCAGCTGGGGTGCTTCGAGGCCAGCTACAGGTCGGTCCCGCATGGCACGGGCCATGATGAGGTGCGAGGATGCATCCAGCGTAAGATTGATGGCATACGCGACCAGCAGAAGTCCATGCGGACCCCAGCGGTGGCGCATCGCAGGGCCACGTCCGACCCGCAGAAAGTCACGGCGGCCGTCACCAAGCTGGAAGCGGACATCGGCGAGAAGCAGAAGCAGCTCGACGAGTTGAAAGAGGTGCTCGCAGCTAAGCGCGCTTCCCTGGCGGCCAAGAAGGTGGAGATCACGGTCCTCCAGGCGCAGGTCAGCCAGGCAGCGCGACAGCTCAGCGGCGCGGCGCAGGCAGCGCAGCAAGATGAGACCAACCCTTTCGATGTCAAGCCTGAGGAGTTTGAGGATGAAGAAGTACGCGCCTTCCTCGTCTCGGCTACATGGTTCAAGCTGCGCGAGCACTTGGCAGGCAAGATGCCAGCCCCCAAGGATGCGCTAATGCCTCCTGCTGCGGGCTCTGCTGATGGTGTCGATGCTGATGATGGAAATGACGGCGGTGAGCACTAGCGGGCCTTGGATGAGTTGGAGGAGGCAGAGCGCCAGCAGCTTTTCGAGGCCGCCAAGGATGGAGGACAAGAAGCGTTTCGCAAGCTTCTTGGAGAGATGGCCACCAAGCGACGGATGTGTTCCTGATAGCAGGCTGCCGCTGCTGTCGGGGTTACGGCTTCGAGCTGGCGCTGTTCGCCAGCTTGCGCAGCCTGAAGTTCAGGGCGCTTTCTTCATTGAGACGTTCAATGCATCGGGTGGCCGCGAGACTGTGAAGTCCAGACTGATGAAGACCAAAGCCACGATTCTCTTGTGTCAGGAGACTGGATATACTGATGACAACCTTGAGGCGCTCTACTCTTGGGCGCACAACCGTCAGTGGATATGTTCCGCCATACCTGCACGTCGTACGGCAGGAATGGCCCCGTCAGGGGGCACTGCTGCGTTTGTCCGAGATGTCCCAGGCCTGCGGCATCCTGAGCGGGGACCACTCGTATGGGAGCAGCGGCTGCAGCAGGTCATTGGACATCATCGGGTGGCCTCCGATCACGATATTCAATGTGTATATGAAAGACTCACTTGGAGCGGTTGGGATTAATGCTGATATACTAGCTACTGCTCTGGGCCTGCTCTTGCCGGAAGGGGCTGGAGCATGTCGCCCATTGATTTGGAGCAGTCCCTCTCCCCGCAGCAAGCTGACATGGCGCTTGCATACCCCAGCCAGGTTCCGTTCAGAGGAGGAACAGGCACCAGTACCATTGATTTTTCTGCCTCA